TCCGATTTTATTATGTCCTGCTGATGTTTTAATTTGCTTGACTTTAATTATTCGTTATTATTACCTTTACGTTTTTACTTTATTCTTCGCCCTTTTCATATTCATCAAGTGGACGATTATTCTTCTCACACCCAATTTCACCTTATTATTTCTATTGTTCGCTGAACTGTCTACTATCATCGAGGGTCTCAAATGCTGTTTATTCCTGTAATGTTTGCCTGAGATTCCCAGAGAAGCGTGTTCCGTAGTCTGCTTTTTTTCGTTTTCCCTTTAAAATTGCAAGTTAGTTTTCTGCACTCAAACTAAACAACTGACGTTTGATCGTTATATTCCAGGTAACCTGAGAGTGTACAAGGTTTGTATTACTGCTGATGTATGGGTAAGTTTGACATCATAAGAGCAATGTTGTTCGGATTTAGCGGATACATTCAGTGAATTGTTGTTAAAAAGAGAAAGGGAAACGAACATTCCGGGAGGAAGTGTCCATAGTTGGCATGAAGTAGGGTAATCATGACACTTTGGATACCAAACCACCCTATAAGTTTATATTCAGCTGGTGCTTAACTACATGTGTTTGCTTTCCTTTTACTAACTTTTATCGAAGTTTAAGATAAAATGAAAGCCTGCTTAGTCACAACGTGAATATCCACGTCCAGCCTAATCCACTTGATAAAATTTGTATATATTTGCTTAGAGTAAGAACGCTTTTCACAACATCCTTACCTGCATTTTAGATTTTGCTGGAATATAGATCCCATGTAGGATGTGTGATTTTTCTTTCCAGTGGTTCAGTTAATTTGGATAAATTTGAGATCATAAAGTATATATAGTGGACTGCTCAAATAACTGGGGGAAAAAATTACCATCAGCAGTCAATCCCAGACTTCAAAAGACCTACTTAAAAAGGAAAACACACTGGAGAATAACTAAGATGAAATTAAAGAAGCAATAACTTTTATATGTCAAGAGGTCCTGGGCCTTAAGCAGCAACATCATTAAAAATGAATCACTGTTAACGTCCTGGTGAAAATTTGAGAAAAGAAGGAAAAAGGGACAGCAATCTACAACAGTTGATCAGTTACAGAGAAAGCCATGGTAAAGGCCGAATACTCAGAAGAAAACAAACGGATAAGGAGAAACATTAGAGCTAAAATCGATATTATGTGGAAGACATAGCGATGAAAACTGTTATGGATGGAAGGGAAAGAAATGGGCGACAACTGTACGACATGGTGAAGAATCTGACGAGAAAATACGGTAGATCAGGGCGACCAGTCATATACAAGCAAATCACTACGATTCACGATAAGCGAAACAGGTGGTTTGAACACTTCTAAGGGCTCTTGAATAGAGCGAACCTCACTAAAACAACAGAATATCGAATCAGCACATACAGAACTCGTGATACCTTACCAAAAATTAAATAAACCAGCAAAGGTGTCAGGAAAATCAAGAGTTGGGAAGGAGCAGCAACAATTGTCAACCAACCTCAAAGTGAGAATCTTCAATTCGAACGTCAAGACAGTTTTATTGTACGGAGCTGAAACGTGATGAACTACTAAGACCATAATCAAAAATGTACATGTACTTATAAACAATTGTCTAGACAAGATACTCCAGACAAATTGGCCAGATGCCATCAGTAATAACCTGATGTGGTAGGGAACAAACCAGCTTCCAAATGGAGAGAAAATTATGGAAAGAAATTGGTGGTGGGTAGGACATGCGTTGCGGATCTAAGATGGCGCCTTGAGGTACACCACTTTTGACCGGCTTCCAATCGAATAGCGTTCCATTGACTCTCATTTTCTGTCTGCGATCATATAAGACGTTCCCTATCCACTTCTGTACAGGACCTATTATTCCGAAGCTCGAGCGCTTCTGCATAAGACCTTAAAGTGAAACAATGTCAAATGTCTTGCTAAAATCTAAGAATATCACATCGACAGAAAGATCGTTACCTAAGGCTGCTGTCCAATCCTCTCCCTCTATAAGTAAGTTAGTCGAGCATGAACGCTTGTTACAAAGCTCACGTTGCTCAGGAGCTGATAGATTTTGTGAATCTATGTGACTTTGCAACTTAACTGGAAATATCTTTTCAAGTAACTTGACGACTATGCTGGTTAGGCTGACAGGCCGGCAGTTAGATGTGATCTATCTCTGACCATCCTTAAATATGGGAATGACTATAGCGTCTATTCAATTTACAGGGAGTTGGGCCAGTGGGAGGGACATGTTGAAAATTGTCGCGAGCGATACCGAAATGATGTCCGCAAGTGATGTCAGCAGCCGTTAATGTAACACGTCGAGACCCGGTATATTACAAGGTTTGAGGTTAGCTACCAATGGAAGGACAGTTTCCTCAGTCGCCTGTACAGATTCAATGGCTGGTATCTCGGCGTGATTGGGACAAGTATTTGTTACAATAAACGTAGAGTAGATGTTGTGGACGTTAGATCCCCAGAACTTGTAGTGACCTACTTTCATCAAGAGAATGCGATTGGTTTAATGCAAACAATTATTTTTATAACCAATTGTACCAGTGACTGTTTTACTGTACTTCTCTGTTTAACTGCACTAAAGACATTCTTCCATTGATTGAGACCTTGTACGAGTTCGGTTACGCTCAGTAACCACACTTGTAACCTGGCATGATCTCGGTATTCTTCCGACACCACGAGATCGCCAACAAATACATCTCGACAACAGCCATCAACTGCCTTCTGATATTTGGCTTACGGGGGATCTTATCGGTTAACTGGTACGTAGTTTCCCTGTAATGGTGATCGTGGTCAACCGCGACTCGACGCCAAACTACAAATTCACTTAGGAAAGAACCTCATTTTGTAATTTTATTTATAAAATTTTATTCTCTTTGTTTTCGCGCCAAAAGCGCTCTTGTCACCTTCATGTCGTGTTTCCCACTGAAAAATATCTTAAATGCTATTGGCCAGTTGCATCTTTTAGTATGCTATTTGGTAACTCTCCCCGAGGACGGTTTTGTACTGTATATATACGTTTTGAATTGAGTTTGTTGTTATCGCTTGTTTCTGACTGTTTGCAGAATATATTTCCTCATTCCAAGCTTAAACTTCTTCCTCCAGTTTGCGGGGCTGGGACGCATCAAATAGTTAGCTTACTGGTCTTTGATCACCGAGTCTTGTTTCTCGTTCGCAGATTAAGTGAAATCGTGATAGCTTCAACCCTAGCAGTAGACTTCACTATAGTTGTTTGAAAAAGCCTCAGCTAGGAAATCTGAATTTTCGTGTAACAGTAGCGGGAGAATACCATCACTACATTTTATTCGCCATTTAACATACGAAAACAGTTGTTTCGGACAAGTGCGACTATCATATGCCAACTGTAAGTAGTCGGGGATTTAGCTATAGTTTTCTTACAAATATTCCGGAATTTTCGGTACTGATGCTTATATAATGCGTGAACTGTCAACAAGAATAAGTCCCTGAAGTGTTTCTCACGCTTTAACAGCTTCCGAGCTTCCTTATAAATCCATAGAGAGCAATGTGATAACTTATGTGCTGACCATGGGATAAACGATGAGGTTACGGACCCGAATGTAGTCCTAAACTTGTTTAATTCGTCTTCGATCGATCCATCCACATTGACCGACCAATCACTTGAGATAGCACAGTCTCTGATTGCCGGAATATTAGCTCGCCAGACATTGCGACGGGGTGGGGCAGATTTAAATTGTATACCATGTGTCAGGAACTTAAAATAAAGTACAACGTGATCACTGTGTCACTGGTGAAGAATGGTGCCGAATATCAAAGACATTCTCACAGTGGTGGGTGGGGGAAAGGTTCAGTAGTGACGAATCATGTTTCAAGTCAATATGTGTCGGTTTCGCATTACATTGTACAGGTGCACACTGAATAATGGTTGATAAAAGGTCGCTATCGGAACCACCGCCTGGAGCTGTAAGCTCTATTCAGTTGATATGAGGTGTGTTGAAGACAACATTCTGCCATACTCCGAGAACAGATGCGTTTCAAGATAAAGTCGTCAGCAGGACAACACGAACTACGGTATATTCCTCCTATCGTCACTAACTGATTTCTAGATTTAATTTTGCAACATGCTACCTCACATGTATCACTAACATGCGCCTCTGATATGACTGATTATATACGAAAGTGATCACTAACGTATAACATTACGCCTCCCCCTTGCGACTTAAAACTATCACTTCCAATACAGATATAGCCTGTAATGACAGAAGAACATTCTATATCTACGGTGAAACAAGTTTCTGTATCAACAATTATATTGGAACTTAGTCCATTCACCATCAGACCTAGCTCGAACATTTTATTTCCAAGACTACAGGCTTTCGTGTAGTAGACACTTTTGGGAATCATTCGTTCTACCCCTACAGGCCTCGGAAGCATTGGATTCCAAGACCTGACTACCCGAAAACCCTAATGGTAAGGTTAGTTTCGCCATTTGACTTTCGAGTACCCCTGAAACCTCTTCAGGTACTACATTTCTTATCACAGATTCCACTAATTGCAGATTGTGTGCATGTCTTTTAGCAGGGTCGTTGTCTTTTGACTCCTCTAGGTTCCAACTAATTAAACTTGGAAGGGACTTAACTTCTTTAGAAACAGTGTTCATGACTTTCGATCGTGATGTTAGATCCTGCATATTAACTACTGGCATCTTACAATAAGTTTTCATTGTAACAGAGTCATGGGAGGTTGAGCGAGCGATTCACAATTGTGTTTGACGAGGCTTTACTTCGGGCCTTTGGCGGAGTAGTCTTTGAGTCCATCAAGGATTTATCAAGTAAACGGGCATTAGTTTTGGCTATCTTTCCAACTGTTCTGCGTTTCAGAATCATCCATTTCTCATCAACAACTGTCAACAAACATCAAAGTCAGAAATTTCAACACGAAAGTCAAGACAGTTTTATCATATGGAACTGAAACGCGGAGAACTACTACAGTCATAATAAAAAATGTACATGTGTCTATAAACGGTTGTCGAGATTTTGTTCGAATACACTTTTATTGTGCATCTGTTGGGCGCGAATTCACTTAAGGTAGTCATCATATCATGGAACGAACGTTCATAATGGTTAAACCTGATGGGGTGCAACGAGGTCTTGTTGGTGAGGTTATACAACGATTTGAAAGGCGAGGCTATAAGCTTGTTGCAATAAAAATGATGCATGCCTCAGAACAGCTTCTTCAGATTCACTACGAGGCACTCAAATCTTTACCATTCTTTCCAAAACTAGTTGCGTATATGTCATCTGGACCTGTTGTACCAATGGTATTCGAAGGGCGTAAAGTAAGTTAGTAAAAAACTCAAGGCGATACCTTTTACAAAAACGTTCTTATGTTTCTCATCTCCCCACATGTCCCCAAATTGCAAATAATCCGGATTTTAAGGTTTTCCTCAAGGTCATGGGAATTCGTGGAGTATGTCTATGACAGTTGAATTAAAATTAAGAAAGCGGACAGTTTTGAAGAACACTTCAAACGACAGCCTTCCATGAGCTCTGACCTCATTAGTATTGTTCGAGTAGAGCCCGTAAAATCCTAACTTTATTGTTTGTTATGATTTTAGAGATACTGCACAAGATTTTACGACCAACAAAATAAAATGGATCTTTAAGGCTGATAAGTACAACCGTGTTTGTCAGTCCATAGGTTTGTCTGTATGTGGACTTGGCAAATTGCGAATATTTTACCCACACACCCAGGTCTAAGACCAGCCCGGTTTTCCCAGATTTGCTCTTCATGAGACCTACTAAGGCCTTGGGTGATTGTCAAGTTTTAAAATCTATGTCAGACTGATTCTTCTGTAGTTACCATAAAAGGATTTTTGTCCTGTTATAAGCTGAAACAATGAATGGTCGAGACTAACCGTGATCTCAGTCAATCTAATAACTGAAAATAAACCATCACACTTATGGGTCTTCGGGGTTAATCTACCTAGGCTTGTCACTCCCTTGTCTTAAATTAGCTTGACTTTCCCTCGTTATTGAAATGCCAAGGAGACTATTACTAACATCTCATTTAGGTTGCTTGGGGAATAAAGTAGGCAACTCGTGAAAATTTCCAATATTCTGCCCATCGTTCCTGTCGCCTGGGTTAAGAGCCGTTCGTTCTCTCATCTTTTCCATAGATGGTCTCTTAACTCAGTTTGTATTACTTGTTTTTCGCTGAAAAGTTGTCTGGAGTTGCCTTTCGCCACCGTTTTCTCCGTTACTTCTGCCTCAGCTGTTCGCGACTACTGCGTTACCAGCCCACCACTTGGTTACCTTATTGTGTTTGTAGCCTTACGTAGTGGCTTTCCGAGTATGTCAGTTCAATAGAGCCTTTTGAGCCTTCTTAACTATTTGATTCTAATCACTCGTCGATATCATGACTATAAATAATGTCGACCCGCATCTGAGTTGGCATCACTTCGGCGTCGTCGTGTTAGATGGTGTTCAGTATAGACATGTCCTCTGAAATAACCGACGGCCTTATGTCAGGTCCCCTGAGTGATCGCTGATGGGTATAAGATCAATTTGTCGGTTGTGGGGGTCGCCATTTCAAACACTTTCCCTATACTTGAAGTTGGTGCTTGCTGTGCACAAGTAGCTGTCTTAGCATAATTAAGACTGCTAATTGCCATTGTCTGTTCATGTAACTTGAACACTAATACACAATTGATTGTCTGTCGCTCTGGTTTAAACTATCAACTTGATCGCTGAAGTCAAGCGTTTAGCCTTTTGTAATAGGGCAGTAAGCTTTATTTTATACATCCTTTTAGAATTAAACACAATGGTTGCGTGGGCGAATGCAACGAAGAGCCATAAACATGTCAATACTTTTTCTTGTTCTCACTCAATTTAGCTTGAAGGCCCACAACACAATTCAGGCTTTGTAATTTGATCATCTGTATATGAACTGGAGAATTTTGCCAACTCAAACAAAAGCTTTGATATGTACGAAAATTTCCTAGTATGCTTTGTTCCAAATAGAGGTATCTTTAGTTTTCTTTTGAGGCAAAAGATATTTCATTACGCAGGGAAGATGATAAAATTCGCACGATAAATATCCTTCTGAGATCAGACTGCTCAGGACCCAGATCCATGTAAATGATCTCAAAACGTAGATCACCCAGATTGTTGTGCAGCGAAAACATATTTATAAAATCAAGTCCGAAGAAATAAACTTTTGATTATTATAGAAGTCTTATTTTTAATGATAATGCGTACTGTTACTGTTACACCTGTCCATACATATGAGTTGGTGCTATCAGCGTGCATATAGACTATTAAAAAACGTTGAGGTGAATCAATGGTTCATATGATAAAAAATTGCAAATGTTGCCACCTTCCACTCCTTCAGTTTCCCAGTCTTCACGACGAATTTCAACTGAACATGTATGCCCAATGCAATACCGTAATAAGCGGAAGTGCTTTTTATACAACTCAACGGCTGCGACAAGTCGTTAAAATAAAGTTTAAGTTTCATGTTAGCACCAATCGTCCTTTTTCTGTTCGTTTGTCATGTAACAACTTTAAGATTTTGTAGTGATACATCTAAGGTGATTTACACCAGCAGAATAAAAGTTAGATATAGAAGCCGTTCTTAACTTCAATGTAACAAGATCACAACCGTTAATCCTAAAAGTTACGTCATCAGAACTGCTACATTAAGCAAACAGTATCAGAAGTATGACTCAACTGTAACTCTTTAAACCTCACTTAATGTGAACAAGTCCCACAGTTATTTCAGTGTTTGCCTAATATCCCCTCACTGTCGATCATATTTACTATGTTTTTGATTCAACGGAGAAAGTTTCCAACCTTTAACACTTGTAATTTCTTCGTTGCGTATTACTGCACATGCATTTTCCACTGTTTTTTTACTTTAGGTTGTTGAGAACGGACGTACAATGTTAGGTGCTACTAAACCTGAAGCAAGTTGTCCTGGATCAATAAGGGGAGACTACTGCCAAGATGTCGGAAGAAATGTTGTCCACGGATCAGACTCAACTGAAAGTGCTAACAGGGAAATCAACTTATGGTTTACTCCACAAGAACTATGTCAATATAAACAAGCCGTTGACCCTTGGATCCATGAATAGACTGCTGTTTGATCACCATTTTATCCCTGTAGACTGAGTGATTGGCTATTTTCCAAATAAATTGGAGGTTGTGTTGTATTACTACTAACTGATGACTTTATATAATGTTTATATAATGGTATCTTTGTGTCAGTACCAATAATAAAACGTCTGGCAGTGGACTGCACTGATCGCCGATCAAAATATCTGCTGTCTATGCGCAACGAACGATTCATGTTCTATGAAAAAATGCTGCTGAAAAATTGATAGTCGATTTTTCGAGGTAATGTACAGAGTTAGTTTTCCTGTGTGCAGAGTCCCTGCTACTTGTTACAGGATTGCCCAAAGCTAGAAATGTATTCGGATAAAGAAAGATGAGCCGTGGTAGCTACAGTTCTTACGGAGAAGGCTAGGCTGCACAGGCAACAAGTCTTATGAAACTGTCCATTTGATCGGACAGATTTCCCGCTTCCCAGAAAGCGAGTTTTAGCTTTAGAAGTTAACCAGAAGATGGCAATCCTGTCAGCGTACGTTTAAAAGCTGGGTACCTATTACCAGTCACGGTGTTCATGAGCACTCATGGAAATTAACAAATCGCATTTATGTCGCCCTAGGATGTCATAACAAAAGATTACATGGGAGTTCGTTTCTTGGGTCTGATTGAATGGTATGCATACTCTCAAGATATGCAGGTGTTTGGCCTAGGTTTCATAACTCAATCTCCGTGGCAACAAGCTACACAATATCTAAGGTTGATCTACGAATATCTTTATGGTATTAGAATAGATAAGGAGAAGTCTATTCAGAGAATTCATATGAAGTATGATCCGAATGCTCTAAGTTTGAGGTCGGTGTACTATTTTCGAAGTTGATTATTTCAGGTGTTAACCATTTGGTAGTTATGATCGTTAGTAGTCTTGCTATTACTGATTCAATACGAAAAATCCCATGGTTTGTTCGTGAATAAGTGATGTGTGTTAGCATACAGCGTCGTAATTAATAATAAGTGAATATTCTTGACCTCGTTTTCAACATTTAATTCACCTGCCTATTTGATTTTAAAGCAGTTTTACACAGACCACCTGGAATTTTAAACACTGTCGCTGATGCCTCTTGTTCCTAACTCTAGTTAACATTAGCTAGTTATTTGTAAACACTCGATTAAACATGGTAACTCAGGTTGGAGCTTATTGTTGTAGAATCACGTCTGGCGTAATAAATAGGAATTCCCATGTCAGTTGAACTGTATTTAATTCTATCTTTACTGAAGCGCTGATCAGATTTTTTAAAGATGGCGTAACATAAATTCTAGACAAGTGTTGTAACATAATTTATATTTCATACATGTTATTGACGGCATTCCAACCATAGTTTTATCATTACAGTAGAAGACAGGAACATTTAGTGAGAAAAAATCCCTCATACACAGAATGAAAATACAAATGTAATGTAAATGGGTGGGGAAGTAAATCAGGAAAATATACTGTAAACATGAGTACAGGTTCATCAAGGGAAACAAAAGATAATATGACAATAGTGAAGAGCAACAGTATATACTTAACTACATACAGTAACATGAATGATGAGAAATATTTTTGAACTTACATTGTTTTTTAAAGTAGCAGTACAAATTATTCAGACTTACATGGATCTACTGACGTACAAACAAACTACCAACAGACCACAAGAAAGTTGCGACAAATTGAAGTACACTCGCTTAACAAATAGTAGAAAAAAAGTTATCAAGAAATCGGAATCTGAAATGAAGTAGTGCATATAAAAATTGGAGCGTTACATGTAGAACAAGAAACAGCAAAATGTAGCCGAAAAAGTATTGAATATACTTTCCAACGCCGTTAACTCTAAATTGTTACAATTGATGACAATGCTGTACATGTAAATGATGAACTAGGCATATGATATGGTTGCTTTATACAAAAAGCTTTATTGTAATTATTAATTTCATTACTATTATTAGTTGTATATGTTGATGCATTCAATGAGTCACCATTTGGTCACGGTTTGCATTGATTTCCAGAAGCATCTAAGCATATATTGGTAGTGACCTCATGGTCCACTAAAACATCGAAATAAATAAAACTTGAAATTAAGTTGGCTGTAAAGCGTTTTTAGAAACGGTAGGGAAAAATATATACAATCATTTCACAGCAACCCATGGAAATATGAACATTCCGCAAAGCAGAAAATCGTGAGTACCTTTTTAAAGTAATTTAAATACCACCTTAATTAACTATTTGGTTGGATGTTTGTTTCACTGATGAAATAACATCAAGGATTCACAAGTATCGTCTTATTTTATTATGTTAATGTTATTCTAAAAGTCGATGTAGTTCAGTTCATAACTAATACCAAAGGTTTTAGGTCTTGGAATTAAATGCAAATATTGTAAATTAGTTTTTATCATTTAATTCAGGTTTTATTTAAACTTATCTATTCCCAAATACTGCCTATATGTGGCAGTCCATTTACCCTATTTTCATTGTCGAAAACACTTATGGAAGTTCTCAAAAGTAAGGCTAGTCGGTTGTCTTTTTTCGCGTAATGTTAGAGTGATTTCCATCATATACTTTAACATGTTGCTCAAACTTCATAGATATATGTATAAAGATAATGCATTCTAAATATTTACTTGAACCTAAACAATGAAACATTCGACTTTCAACTAGAGGTACTTAACATCTGTATCTATGTCATAATCATTCGATTATTAAATGACAATATGCTAAAATGAATATGCCGTACAATTTAAGAGAATATAAACAAGAAAATTTTAAGTAAGAACATTTATTAAAATTTACTCATGTCGTCTGACAAAGCTGTAAATCGATTAACATAACTTCTTGAAGTAAAGTTTTCACTACAATTCGCTGACAGTTCTGCGGTATTTTGATCATTGTTACAACTGATTGATGAGCACATCTGACAACCACTAGCTTTTATGGAACCGATATTATCGATTGAAGTATGCTGAATGGATTTATGAGGATAGGATTGAATATCTGCATTCGGTGTTGCAGTTGACAAAACTATATCACTGGGATTTTGCATATAGGATTCCGCTAGAATTTCACGGGAAGCATGAAATAAAAACAAGCCGTCAGGCAAATGTTTATAATTAATTTTCAACTGTAATAGCATAGCCTAAATAAACAATGTTATTTATTATCTAACACATTATGACTAAACATTGATTTGTAACATCAAGTCTACGATATATATATATATATATATATATATATATATATATATATATATATATATATATATATATATATATATATATATATATACCCTTCGTGGATGAGCATAGGCCGCTTACCAGCATTCTTCATCCAATTCCGTCCTGGACAATCCTTTCCGCCGGCCCTTCATCCTTTTGATATCTGCATTTACTTAAACCTTGAACGCCGGTAAGTTAACTCCAGGCTGGGAGTACTAAATATCGGTTTCTAAGTCATAATTATTCAGTTATTAAATGACAATCTGCTGAAATAAATATATCCTACAGTTAGGGAGAATATAAACAAGAAAATGTTAAATAGGAACATTTATTATTATTAATGGCTTTATTCAATATTATATTTTGGTACAATATAGAATTCGCAGAAAGAGGCATTTCAACAGGTTTCTCCCACAAAAACAGAAAAAAAGGACAAAAGGTGAAAAAAAGATCTGAATCTGTACAACTTTTCAAATTAGAGTCATGTTTAAACATACAGGTTATTGACTAGGTTAACTCTAATAACCTGTTCGTCACGGAATATATTTGCTAGGTTAGGCATTATAGAACTTTTATACCTTTGCTTGCGTGCATGGATCTTAATGCATTTACGTCTCTTTCTACCAGAAGCTATACAGGAAGAAAGATATGAGTGAAGGGGATGGTTGGCATCTGCTAACACATGCTGGCACAGGCACAATGGTAAGTTGTTATAGTGCGGATGACTTTGTCCGCTAAATAAGTTAGCAAAAGGGCTTAATCGGGTTAAATGAGAATAAACTCAATTTTATATGAGTCTCTATATTGTAATAGTAAATGTCAAGCAATCCCAAAAGCATGCAGCCTTTTTGTGTAGTAAGTCAGACGGAAAACTTCCTTCGATAGCAGTAAAACATGAGATGACCAATAGAGATCAGGGGAAAGAGTAATAGCAAGATAACTGACCTTCGACATTGTTTATCAAAGAGTCTTCAATGGCATAAGCCTGATTGGATCTCAAAATGGTGTTTAGATGCTGTCCATGTCTCAAGCTATATTTGACAGCTTGATATTTAGATGCATTAAGCATGAGACCAATAACAATAGACCATCATTCGATACGAGACAATAACTCATTCATTTCTACGGGATGTAAAGAGGTAGAGATCGGCATAAATATATGTTTTATTTATAAGTATTTGAATTATAGTATGAACTAAGAATCCCAGAAATAACGCAATTGGGTCAAGAAGTACCAGATAAGCACGAACGAATTCAAGCATTCAACAAGTACAAAGGAATCATTAGTTTATTCGAATACCATATCCGCCACAGATTAAACAGGAAAATAAGTGTTTGCAATTGATTGTACGTCTTCTTCTTAAGTTCATCATGTGTCCCTCCGAAAGTGTATTGGATAAAAACTCTGTATTATATAGAATGCACGCATTAGTAATAGAATTAACAACCGAAATCGGAACAGATTCACCTGCTTACTCAAAATATGTAATCAGCATGTCGGTTGTGTACTGAAAAGGCTGCTACTAAGAATTGAACCATAGAATATTAGAATAAACAACCCTAAGAAATAAAGACGGATCATAATGTCAGCAAGATATGAAAGACGAGATATCATATAAAAAAAATTCTCATAAAGCTTACAGAAAATATTAGAAAAGTATCGGAGAAAATGACATGAAATCATTCAAAAAGTAATTGCCTGTTTTGCAATATCTCCGGAATGGTTGGTGGTATCGTTCTGAAAATTGTTTTATATTATTGGTGACGATCTCACCTATGAGACAAAACAAACAAAATTTTAAAATTTTCGGTGGAAGTGCCTGTTTTGCAATATCTCCGGAATGGTTGGTGGTATCGTTCTGAAAATTGTTTTATATTATTGGTGACGATCTCACCTATGAGACAAAACAAACAAAATTTTAAAATTTTCGGTGGAAGTGCCTGTTTCGCCATATCTCAGGAACGGTTGGTGGTATCATTCTGGAAATTGATACATATTATTTGTGATGATCTGTCTTATCAGATAAAACAAACGAAATTTCAAAATTGTTGATGTGAGTGCCTGTTTCGCCATATCTCAGGAACGGTTGGTGGTATCGTTCTGGAAATTGATTCATATTATTTGTGATGATCTCTCCTATCAGAGAAAACAAACAAAATTTCAAAATTGTGGATGTGAGTGCCTGTTTCGCCATATCTCAGGAACGGTTGGTGGTATCGTTCTGGAAATTGATTCATATTATTTGTGATGATCTCTCCTATCAGAGAAAACAAACAAAATTTTAAAATTTTCGGTGGAAGTGCCTGTTTTGCAATATCTCCGGAATGGTTGGTGGTATCGTTCTGAAAATTGTTTTATATTATTGGTGACGATCTCACCTATCAGAGAAAACAAACAAAATTTCAAAATTGTGGATGTGAGTGCCTGTTTCGCCATATCTCAGGAACGGTTGGTGGTATCGTTCTGAAAATTGATTCATATTATTTGTGATGATCTCTCCTATCAGAGAAAACAAACAAAATTTCAAAATTGTTGATGTGAGTGCTTGTTTCGCGATATCTCAGGAACGGTTGGTGGTATCGTTCTGAAAATTGTTTTATATTATTGGTGACGATCTCACCTATCAGACATAACAAACAAAATTTTAAAATTGTTGGTGGAAGTGCCTGTTTTGCAATATCTCCGGAATGGTTGGTGGTATCGTTCTGAAAATTGTTTTATATTATTGGTGACGATCTCACCTATCAGACACAACAAACAAAATTTTAAAATTGTTGGTGGAAGTGCCTGTTTTGCAATATCTCCGGAATGGTTGGTGGTATCGTTCTGAAAATTGTTTTATATTATTGGTGACGATCTCACCTATCAGACACAACAAACAAAATTTTAAAATTTTTGGTGGAAGTGCCTGTTTTGCAATATCTCCGGAATGGTTGGTGGTATCGTTCTGAAAATTGTTTTATATTATTGGTGACGATCTCACCTATCAGACACAACAAACAAAATTTTAAAATTTTTGGTGGAAGTGCCTGTTTTGCAATATCTCCGGAATGGTTGGTGGTATCGTTCTGAAAATTGTTTTATATTATTGGTGACGATCTCACCTATGAGACAAAACAAACAAAATTTTAAAATTTTCGGTGGAAGTGCCTGTTTTGCAATATCTCCGGAATGGTTGGTGGTATCGTTCTGAAAATTGTTTTATATTATTGGTGACGATCTCACCTATGAGAGTAAAGAAAGAAAATTTTAAAATTGTTGGTGGAAGTGCCTGTTTTGCAATATCTCCGGAATGGTTGGTGGTATCGTTCTGAAAATTGTTTTATATTATTGGTGACGATCTCACCTATCAGACACAACAAACAAAATTTTAAAATTTTTGGTGGAAGTGCCTGTTTTGCAATATCTCCGGAATGGTTGGTGGTATCGTTCTGAAAATTGTTTTATATTATTGGTGACGATCTCACCTATGAGACACAACAAACAAAATTTTAAAATTTTTGGTGGAAGTGCCTGTTTTGCAATATCTCCGGAATGGTTGGTGGTATCGTTCTGAAAATTGTTTTATATTATTGGTGACGATCTCACCTATGAGACACAACAAACAAAATTTTAAAATTTTTGGTGGAAGTGCCTGTTTTGCAATATCTCCGGAATGGTTGGTGGTATCGTTCTGAAAATTGTTTTATATTATTGGTGACGATCTCACCTATGAGACAAAACAAACAAAATTTTAAAATTTTTGGTGGAAGTGCCTGTTTTGCAATATCTCCGGAATGGTTGGTGGTATCGTTCTGAAAATTGTTTTATATTATTGGTGACGATCTCACCTATGAGACAAAACAAACAAAATTTTAAAATTTTCGGTGGAAGTGCCTGTTTTGCAATATCTCCGGAATGGTTGGTGGTATCGTTCTGAAAATTGTTTTATATTATTGGTGACGATCTCACCTATGAGACAAAACAAACAAAATTTTAAAATTTTCGGTGGAAGTGCCTGTTTTGCAATATCTCCGGAATGGTTGGTGGTATCGTTCTGAAAATTGTTTTATATTATTGGTGACGATCTCACCTATGAGACACAACAAACAAAATTTTAAAATTTTCGGTGGAAGTGCCTGTTTTGCAATATCTCCGGAATGGTTGGTGGTATCGTTCTGAAAATTGTTTTATATTATTGGTGACGATCTCACCTATGAGACAAAACAAACAAAATTTTAAAATTTTCGGTGGAAGTGCCTGTTTTGCAATATCTCCGGAATGGTTGGTGGTATCGTTCTGAAAATTGTTTTATATTATTGGTGACGATCTCACCTATGAGACAAAACAAACAAAATTTTAAAATTGTTGGTGGAAGTGCCTGTTTTGCAATATCTCCGGAATGGTTGGTGGTATCGTTCTGAAAATTGTTTTATATTATTGGTGACGATCTCACCTATGAGACAAAACAAACAAAATTTTAAAATTTTCGGTGGAAGTGCCTGTTTTGCAATATCTCCGGAATGGTTGGTGGTATCGTTCTGAAAATTGTTTTATATTATTGGTGACGATCTCACCTATCAGACAAAACAAACAAAATTTTAAAATTTTCGGTGGAAGTGCCTGTTTTGCAATATCTCCGGAATGGTTGGTGGTATCGTTCTGAAAATTGTTTTATATTATTGGTGACGATCTCACCTATGAGACAAAACAAACAAAATTTTAAAATTTTCGGTGGAAGTGCCTGTTTTGCAATATCTCCGGAATGGTTGGTGGTATCGTTCTGAAAATTGTTTTATATTATTGGTGACGATCTCACCTATGAGACAAAACAAACAAAATTTTAAAATTTTTGGTGTGAGTGCCTGTTTCGCAATATCTCCGCAACGGTTGGTGGTATCGTTCTGAAGATTGTTTCATATTATTGGTGACGATCTCTCCTATCAGACAAAAGAAACAAAATTTCAAAATTGTTGGTGTGAGTGCCTGTTTCGCAATATCTCCGCAACGGTTGGTGGTATCGTTCTGAAGATTGTTTCATATTATTGGTGACGATCTCTCCTATCAGACAAAAGAAACAAAATTTCAAAATTGTTGGTGTGAGTGCCTGTTTTGCAATATCTCCGGAATGGTTGGTGGTATCGTTCTGAAAATTGTTTTATATTATTGGTGACGATCTCTCCTATCAGACAAAACAAACAAAATTTTCAAATTTTCGGTGGAAGTGCCTGTTTTGCAATATCTCCGGAATGGTTGGTGGTATCGTTCTGAAAATTGTTTTATATTATTGGTGACGATCTCTCCTATCAGACAAAACAAACAAAATTTTCAAATTTTCGGTGGAAGTGCCTGTTTTGCAATATCTCCGGAATGGTTGGTGGTATCGTTCTGAAAATTGTTTTATATTATTGGTGACGATCTCTCCTATCAGACAAAACAAACAAAATTTGAAAATTTTCGGTGGAAGTGCCTGTTTTGCAATATCTCCGGAATGGTTGGTGGTATCGTTCTGAAAATTGTTTTATATTATTGGTGACGATCTCTCCTATCAGACAAAACAAACAAAATTTCAAAATTGTTGGTGGAAGTGCCTGTTTTGCAATATCTCCGGAATGGTTGGTGGTATCGTTCTGAAAATTGTTTTATATTATTGGTGACGATCTCACCTATCAGACACAACAAACAAAATTTTAAAATTTTTGGTGGAAGTGCCTGTTTTGCAATATCTCCGGAATGGTTGGTGGTATCGTTCTGAAAATTGTTTTATATTATTGGTGACGATCTCACCTATGAGACAAAACAAACAAAATTTTAAAATTTTCGGTGGAAGTGCCTGTTTTGCAATATCTCCGGAATGGTTGGTGGTATCGTTCTGAAAATTGTTTTATATTATTGGTGACGATCTCACCTATCAGACACAACAAACAAAATTTTAAAATTTTCGGTGGAAGTGCCTGTTTTGCAATATCTCCGGAATGGTTGGTGGTATCGTTCTGAAAATTGTTTTATATTATTGGTGACGATCTCACCTATCAGACACAACAAACAAAATTTTAAAATTTTCGGTGGAAGTGCCTGTTTTGCAATATCTCCGGAATGGTTGGTGGTATCGTTCTGAAAATTGTTTTATATTATTGGTGACGATCTCACCTATGAGACAAAACAAACAAAATTTTAGAAATCTTGGTTGACTTCAAACTTATCGTCAGTAGTTTGTTCATTTTTCTGGAAATGATTCTCTACATCCAGCTCAAAGTTAGGCACACTTGTATCAACATCCTCTTCCTCCAACTGATTCTCTTCATGTGGGGTTGCACTGTCCAATAATTCAGAAGTATGGGTAGCTAGGTTAGATTTTGAGCGGGACCTAAGTAGATGACTACGCGATGAGCTTTTGCGACTAATAAATTGAGTCTTCTGAGGCATGCTGTTTTGAATAATTAGAAGTTGCAGTGGCTGAAGGAGGATCGGAAGATGATATATCTATGGACACCGGACTGGTGCTATGCGAACAAGGGACTGAGTGTGGATGTGGAAATACAGTGAGCTATGTAAAGAGACGGGATAAAACATCAATCTTATAAAATTTGCACCAAATTTCATTTATATTACTAAAAACTAAGATAATTTATACAATAAATCATCCCGTCAATTGAGTGTGATTTTAAGGATTGAAAGAGATTGTAAAGGACAAAATCAAAATTAAATATGATCGTTGACACGATTTATAATAATTTGACTGAGAAACAATGTACAGCTTCGTGCGCTAGTCTATAACCTAAACCAACTGTGTAAAAGAAAAGAAATAACTTTACTGTCTAAACTAATCGGTTGTAAAGCTAGATCATAAAATCAATGAACCAGATTTTTGATCCGAAACTAATCACTGAATGGACCACAAGTGATATAAACGTTTACCCCTGAATTCCAATTGAAGCTAAATTGGTCAATGAGTTTAAGATGAGTATTTAACTAGAAACGAGTCTAAATCATCGTGTTAGACCGATCTAAAACTTCATGAATTATGTGATATTTAAAATAGAGTTAATTATGATACAATATACATATAAATCTGCTAGATGGACATGACTTAAACGACGACAGTGCGTCAACCTTTATTTCGGAATTGTCTGACGTCTAGAATACAGCTTTCTGTCAAAACAATGATTTTAACTGGAAGAACAAATAATATATAAATTAAACACTGATAATTTATCCAAATAACTCACACAACGTAATGGAGGTGTATCGACTTTGTTTTTATCAACCAATGCATCAATATCTGACGATGAACGAATGGTTGGGTGATCAGCTGATGATACTAGTCTAGTTCCTCCTGTAGAAATATCATTATTTCCAATATTTAAGCAGAGAGATATGTGAGCAGCACGACGAAACTTCTTAGCTGGAGGTAATGATACTGATTCCTCCTGTAATGAAGCTAAACTTGAAGGAGTAACAGTGTGTCGAATGCTTTTTAAGCGCCCAGATTTACCTCTGGAAATGTTGCTACAGGAAACTGCAACAGAGTCGCCGTCTTTCCCGTGAAGGTTTGCAGGAATTCCGTATGTAGCTAAAAGTTCATCTAATGACATTTGACTTTCCTAAAATCAAAAGAGTAAACATTGCCAAGCACTAAAGATTCTCCTTACTACTTATACACATGTAAATAGTTAACGCAAAATTGAATATCGAAATAAGGGGAAAATAAAAACATGTATGAAACTTACATCTACTATAACTGTATGGAAAAACAATATGAATATTCAATGTAAGTTTCATGCAAATACAGAATCTTACATCAGGAGGGGCTAAATGTAACGCCTTCCAAAATACTGAAGGTATGAATTTTTAGAACACTCACTAGAGTTAAGCTAATAATGTATATCTTTTATAATATGACTTTCAAAAATTGTGTAAGATATAACAAGGGTTAACTGGTATTTAAGTACTCTACCATATAGTGATAAAAGACAAGTTAAAGTCGAGTGAATTTCGTGTACAACTGACTGACTTTCGATAAGATCGCATACAAGCAAACCCTACATAACCCACACTTTTAAGATTCTAAATCAAAACCGATGTTATCATTGGATTATTCAAACCAACTTTATTTATGCAGAATGGGGCTGTGTATATGATATAATCACCAGTGCTAACGTACCCAGGTACAATGCAATACATTTAGATTCCCAAGAGAAAATCTTTTCAATGGTGTACACATTCCTTCTCGATGGATTTGATAAAATATGGAAACTAAGTCAACACTTTCATTTATAGTTTTAAAACAAAAGTTAGCAACAGTAGGATTCATCGTTAATCTATTTTAAAACCCTATACTTTAAAGAAACTACCATGATTGAATTCAGAATATAATGAAGTTTAAAAGCAAAAAATTCTCATTTGGTTATTTTTCACACAAAATAAGTTTAGAAATGCTGTATGCAACATAATTACAGCACGAAACATTTTACACTGCATATTAGATTAACTCACTTTCATGAGACTTGATACTTCTTCCTCGTCAGCAGCATCTTCCTCTGGAGGAATACTGTCATCATCTTCTACCGAAACATCCCGTTCGTCAAAATCACTATCGCTCATCCCATCAGCTTTACGTGCGGTGCTATCTAGACAAGGCCCAGGATTGTCTGCAGATTGATTAGTTGTTTCAGTCGTGCTGGGATTATAATCTGTTTGGTGTTCAGACGACTCTGAAGCAGGTAAAGTTGGTTCCCGATTTTTTTCAATTAACATTTGTGAAATCCAGGTTTAAAAAGATATTTACATAAAGTTCTGTAACAAAACCAAATGACTCGGGGGATCAAATATACTACCATATACATCGAAACAAAAACAACGAACTTCAGTGATAAAGATGAATCATCTGGATGAAACTATTATTTCCAAAAAATTAAGTTCCCATCTCAAAACATCAAACATCCAGGCTAGCTGTCTGCGGTAACATGTTTTACGCTAGTAATGTAAATTTCTAACAACGAATAAGCACATTTTAGCAACGTTATATGCTTGAAATGGTTTCCATAAATAGATTACAAAGGTAGAGAAGCTGATGTCAGTATATGCACGAAGTCAGATTTATTTGTTAGTCTGGGTCTGTTTTAACACTTGTTTTTCCTTAAATACTCTGAGATTTAATAAGTGATTTGAGCAGGGCTTTTGGTCGAATCAATCCAGTATGTACTGGAGAAAACTGCCAGTCAGTTGCGATCTCCATATACGAAATAATAGTTCGTAAAACAAAGCTTAGAGCACAGTGGTTACATGCCTTGAGCTTTCAGTCGGAATGCGGTTTATGAACTATTTGGGAAATATAAAATGAACCTGCCTCTGGCCATTTTAAACATCAGGCTAACGAAATGATGTACAAGCACAACTTGTGGATGTTTCATTTTAAAGGAACTACGCAACTCATACTTTGATTCAATTTCGCTCATCTCCAAGTGCGACTGAAACAGTGCTTCTATGTTATGCACCTATTGAGCCAGAAGTTTCAAGACGTGTAACGCTGTCAGATGAAAACAATCAGCAAGATTGCGCCTTTTGTTATTAATGCTCTCATATGGCCACGCGTATATAGCTACCGACAGGGAAGTCCTACTTTTTGCCTTCTGGTTGCGGGGGTGTTGTTTACGAAACTGAGAGGGCGAAAAGCGAATGTCCAGCGCTTTAACCGGGTTGGTGGACATAGAGAGTCCACCTAGGAAGTTGGGAAACCCTGATTCCAAACCAATGGTGCACATGGGCTCCAGTATCCTAAAGGAACCAATCGTTGGTCACCGGCTACCATGGGACTGCATCTCCTTACGTTGCTTCACTGCCTTGTGGATCAGACCTTCAGGTCGAAGGCTCCAGTTGTGGCCCCCTAAGAAAACCACCTGCTTCGGTTTGGGCACCCGGACAGTATCACAGCCCTCACACAAATCAAACGAGATATGTGTGGTGTATATGTATTTGGTGCCTCCTTATACCGATATCTGTGTTAAAATAAATAACTGAATAAAAACGGGGTGTGGAGTCTTCCCTAAACTAGCATCAGATTAGATAGAACACTAGAAGGCCAAACTGTGACATTGTATTGACTTATTGTATCACAGATGGATGACATAATCACTCTAAAATCCTTTATTTATTTCAACACAGATAATGGTACAAAGAGGCACCAAATACATATGCGCCACACAAATCTCATCCGATATGTGTGAGGGCTGTGATACTGCCCGGGTGCCCAAACCGAAGCAGGTGGTTTTCTTAGGGGGCCACACCCCGAGCCTTCAACCCAAAGGCCTGATCCACAAGGCAGTGGAGCATCGTAAGGAGATGCAGTCCCATGGAAGCCGGTGACCAACAATTGGTTCATTCGCCATTTGTTCCCGCAGGATACTGGAGCCCATGTGCACCATTGGTTTGGAATCCGGTTAAAGCGCCGGACATTCGCTTTTCGTCCTCTCATTTTCGTAAACAACACCCCCGCCACGAGAAGGCAGTGAGTAGGACTTCCCTGGCAGAGGCTATATACGCGTGGCCGTGTGAGAGTATTTCGAGAGGGAGAGCGGACTCTCCCCACTCTCGGCCGTACCAGGGCATTTGGGTGCAAATATTACAGAAAGAGGACAGGTATTAAAACACCAGCTGTTTGTGACCATTTTAGAAAGATTAAATCACAATTTACTTTTAATCTCAAGGATTAAACCAACAGGAAAAACGCTCCGACAAACAACTGGCTTATAACTACTCTTCAATCGCCTACCATCTTTAAAAACTGAATGAAAAATTGACACAGGTGACGAACAGCTACAGTGAACAGCATAGTAATGTGGTGCCCCCAAATGCCCTGGTACGGCCGAGAGTGGGGAGAGCCCGCTCTCCCTCTCGAAACACTCTCACACGGCCACGCGTATATAGCCTCTGCCAGGGAAGTCCTACTCACTGCCTTCTCGTGGCGGGGGTGCTGCTTACGAAAATGAGAGGACGAAAAGCGAATGTCCGGCGCTTTAACCGGATTCCAAACCAATGGTGCACATGGGCTCCAGTATCCTGCGGGAACAAATGGCGAATGAATCAATTGTTGGTCACCGGCTTCCATGGGACTGCATCTCCTTACGATGCTCCACTGCCTTGTGGATCAGACCTTCAGGTCGAAGGCTCGGGGGGTGGCCCCTTAAGAAAACCACCTGCTTCGGTCTGGGCACCCGGGCAGTATCACAGCCCTCACACACATATCGAATGAGATTTGTGTGGCGCATATATATTTGGTGCCTCTTTGTACCATTATCTATGTGTTGAAATAACATAATAATAGTAATGTGGTGGGAAGAAAAGACGTCTAGAATCTAAGTCAGGCTTTATTAAAGTTTTTGAACTCTTCTTAATAACGAAAATTCGCCAAGACTATGTACATCTTGGAAGCAATAAACATTGGATGTCATTACTGCCTAACACATTAGTAGCCTGAGCACACCATAAAAGTTGTAAAGGATGTTAGATGACATCGTCACTCAGATTTTGCATGAAAAGTAAGTACTTTGATGCTGTTTCTTTCAAACACGAATAAGCTGAAAATATTTAAATTTAAGAAAGTACAAACAGATATGTATTTGATTTCCGTAATCAGCAACTTAGCACAGTTCCCTAAGAAACTGAGATGAAAAGGTAAATGGCGTAAATGATACAGCAATTGGTTCCACTTAAATCACTGGACTTATGGCATTTCGCTGTGGAGCAAATTAGGTGCCTCTTATCTTTGTGGCAAGCGAGTGTAAACCGGATGATCTTTTGTGTTAGGTTTTTGGCGTTACAATAATGTTTCAAGTCCTTAATGCTTACAGTGAGTTGTCTGGTCACTCAAAGTGGACTATTCCTAGTGAACTTAGTAGTTATTTGGAGGTTAACATCTCTTGACTATCCATGGGGTTGTTAGAGCTTCCAGCGATCATGATAAATTATATTGGTTAGTTATAGATCGAAACTACGAGATTGAAATGCAGAGGAGCAAGGAATCAATCACGAGTAAATGAATTGCGCTGATACAAACAAACACGGTCTTAAAATAACAGATAAACGGGGATGACACGGGACAAAGTGAGTAGAAACAGGCTGATGATAATTAAAGTACTCATGTCAATGGTAATTGATGTAAGTTGTGAAACACGGTTTTGGCGCAAATGTTTCAGGCGAAAGACAACAAGCCGTGGTTCATAAATGGTCTTTAGTTCTCCTCTTGGAGCTGTACACTGAGGGGGTCGGGCTCACATCGGTTGGGAAAGCATTCGATACGGGATTGACTCGAGGTGAAACGGTAGCCTTAAGTAAGTGTTTGCTCTTTGATGTGCAATTGTTAAAAAGTCATTTGGTGGAGCGCAATGATGGGGATTTAAGCAGAACGTTTCCGCTGAGATGACTTGGAATAAATAATAAACTGTATCCTATCATCAAATCACCATTTAATTTTTTTTAAAACCCACTGGGGATAATGATGTTAACATAACCAACAGTCTTCACTGCATATAAAGTTACAACTAGTAGTTTCACTTGCAGTATGACTGGAGATTCTTGATACTGGCACACATACAAAGAGCTGTACAAAAAAACCTACCGACAGGACAATAATTCCGCGCTTGTTCAAGCGGAAGCGAATCAGAAGGAGGTTCAGGGTGTCCAACATGAAAATGTTTTGAGGATAACTTGCAAGTATTTCTTCTTCCATCCTACCTCTTCCTCAAGAAGCGATTTCACGTGTTCAGTTAAATCATACACTCTTATTTGAACACCTCAAATGATAATTCATCATAATCTTTAGATCCAATATCTAATATCTTTGTCACCACCTTGTGTAAACAAATTGATTTATTTGCTCTTGCTTACTGTTGTTTCGGTATGGCTCCAGGTATTCGGCAATGTTCAATTGGTGATAGTCTAGTCACTCATGTGCACTAATTTTAGTCAGTTTGGTAGCTATTTGTGGATATGTATGCCGTGTAACGGGAGTGACTGTGTCTGTATAATGACAGTAGGGTTTCTAGATGCCAGTACCTATCACGTCAGCATGCAGAAACTTGATTGGTCGCACTATGGAAAGTAATGAAGTGATAATTTGAGTGCTGAAAGAAAACGATTGTTTCATGAAGTGAATAGATAGATAAGTTCACTCATCGACTGATCATGCTGTGTGAGAAGACAGAAGTGTAAAGATAAAATGGGAAACGGAGGTGATAATAAGCCAGGTAGGAAGCCGTTAGTGGTGGGTAGTGATGACAACAGTGGGTAAATTATGAAACTTTCAGCTATAAGTGCTTCAAGCAAGAGATTATAATCATTGGGTGAGTACGTCTTTGTCAAGTCACTTCATGAAGCTATCCCTTGTGTCTTTAAGGCCGGCTAATTTTCACGTGACTTATTCGCTAATCCGAATACGACTTATACAATTTTAGCACCATACTAAACCAATGACGTATCAACCGCTATGAGCAACCTAGCGTCCTTATAGGCCCTTTGTCTTCCTAGCCCTGCCAGTTGAGTCCAGAACACCAATACCGGTGAGGATGATACAGGTATTCAGTGTTTGACAACGCTTCTACCAGTAACACCTTCTAATATACTTTGTTCCCACCGAGAGAAATCAAAAGACAGAGTCGAGGAGATCGGAAGAGTGTATTTGGCGATAACCAATATATCAGAATTCTCTGATCTAATCTGGCTAGCGATTGCGATAGATGTTGAGCACAGCGTTACCACACGTGATCTGGTGCGGATGCATGACCGAGCGCCTTCAGCTAGATGAGTCCATTAAAACATATGGTCAGCATTTAATGTCGAAAACTTACAGAGCCTTTTTTGGGGGATTTATTTACCGCTACACCGGCTTTCACTATACAAGTCATTTATTTCGAACATACTTGGTTTATATGCAGTTCAAACGGACCACATCACACCGTAAAATCGGAAATAACAATTGAACGAGACCAAGCAAAAAAAGTGGCTGTGATCGTGGGTGACTGTAGTTAATTAATTGAACATAACTTAAGGACTGTGAGCCGTATAATAATGGTCTCTAGCTTATGATGGGAAGATGGTGAGAAGAATATAGATATGCAGATACATAATCTAGTTACTGAATGCCTATACAATGAAAAAATATATAATATTAGTCCATCAATAGTTCTTAGAAGTTACCCGTAATTTGGTCTTTACTAGGATATAACAATATCCACTTAGGAAGCTTTGGTCATTTCAGAAGTAAGAGCGTTTCAAGTGGGGGCAGATCTTAATGAGGGAATGTGAGAGCACACCTGGGTCTTCTGTCTTTGACGTACAATTCTTAGAGAGTTACCTTGGAGGCAGTGGTCCTGTTGTTCTAGCAGGGTCCCCATATCGGGCTGACTTAGCGAACTCGACTAATCTCAGGCGTTGGAGTCTGTCCTCGCAAGGTCTATTTTTTATTACTATCACCCACTTGATTGTCTATCTCAGTACTTGGTCAATGAGATTTGTATCTCTTCTGAACAGAGGAGGCACAACAACATTGTGAACTTCAAGATGGGCTATATATGCGTTTTTAAAAGACCTAAGAACACCTCTGGGGTGACTGGCTCAAATTGTCTTCGTGTAAAGAGAAGACTTGCGTTTGTCTTGACCCAATACTCCATATAGTTTGAGCTGATGCCTAAGCCATTTGTGATTACTAGTCCCGGTTCACGATTTTGAAGGAACACAGAGGTGCGTATTTCCTTGAAGGACGTAAGTCGTTTATATACTATGGGGTAGAATGTTCATAACATGACTGTGACGGAGCGAGAATGGCGAACAAATAATCACAGCATTGCATTGAACAGTATTATCATTCATTGTCTCTTATCCGTGTCTTATATTTTAACCCTAATTCAGCCCTCTTGTCAACCACACTTTATGTTTCTCAGTCTTCCTTGTCGGGACTCTTTCTAATTGATCCCAGTCAAAGATTGACATTTTATCACTTAATTTACTGTTGCATGTTGCCAGACTATTGTCAATAAGGTTTTCTTTGAATAAACTCATGGTCACCTTGTGGTTCAAAGATTGTATGTTAACGTTTGACTGTCTGCTTGAAGAGTTTGCCGGAATATTTTTATTGGGATGTTGGTCGTTATGGTCTATCCATATGTTGACTGCGCTTGTGCTTGTCACCAGTGTAGCAGTAGATAAATCTCAAAGGCAAATAGTTCCGTGAGTCTTGGACGTTGATGCTGGCCTTCTTAGTTCTACTGGTCACATCTAGCTGAAGGCGTCGGGTCATGCAACTGCACCAGATCACGAGTGGGTACTATGTACATCGCATCTCTTACAACTGTTAGCCAACTTGGGTCGAACGCTCCCCAATATATCGATAACCTTTCAAATATATCCTCGTACTTCCTCACTTCTGACTTCTTATTAGCTTGGGTTTTTATACTGTGATTATAAACGTGGAGCTGTTTAAGGCGTTGTCAAACTCTAAATATCTTGACAAGCCTTGCTAATAAAACGCTAGATTTATTTTCTTCCAGTAACCCACAGGCTAGCACTACACAGAGACTTGGACGCGAAAGAAAAGGAGCAAAATATGTAAATAACGCTTCACTCCAAATGTCCGTTTTTGCAGAAAATATATGGTTTTAAAAGTGTTATAGATGTCCTTGGGTTTCCTGAAAATTCTGGAGTGCTACTAAACATAGTCGCAGTATGGTAATAATCCAATCAGAAACTCAAAATGGGACATTCCAGCTTCTAGATGTTTCTGGCAAAACCTCTAGTAAACGCTGATTGGATAAGATGCTTATCGGTGTTTTCAGAGCCTTTCTTACCTTTTTCGAGTTTTCTGGATCGTTCCAACATATCTGTGGTACCTTGAGTGATGAGACAGATGTAATCATGTACTCCTATTCTTAAACTGTGAGTTTGCTTCTTTTCGGAACTTTATATATCACATTTTCATTTTTGTTTCTACATGATATTATGATATTGTTTTCATATTTTCGGATGTATTTTCTCATTGATTGCTACACCGGACAAAATCAAAAGTTGTTTAAGATTAAGACTCTTCTGCCATTTTGACCCGACAATATCGAAACCTTGTTCTGACACATAGAAGCAGACTTCTACGATTACGACGTGACAGACCCACGTGCATAATTCCTTGCAGTGGCGAAGGCACTGTCGCACGAACTCAACGCCTACGTTACACCTAGTATGTCTACTGGTGGCGTTTCAGAACCTTATGGAAAAAGGTCGTTATAAAGCGTGTATTCTTAACCGACAGATAAATGTTGGACCAACTTTTCCACAACATAAAGCTGCAATACGACTCAGCAAAGGAGATGTTGCCACAATTGCGAGAGGCTGTTGATCAATGTACATTTGACGAGGGCCTACTTGAACGGCATTTCTTTTCTAAACTTGCTCAGCTGGTGGACGCAGTGCTTGTCTTACTTCAAAGCAACGTTGAAGACGAAGTGGCTGCACCTGTCTACTGTATTTTAAGGATCACCAGAACCTCCCACGTCGAGGTCTATTCAGCTAAGTAACCGAAACGACGTCATAGACCCATATCATACTCTTAAACGTTACCTTAGTATTCGTCATGAACGTATACGCTCCTAGACACCTGAAAGGAGTTCTTGACGAAAACAATCTGTCTCTAGATCACGATAGGCAGATAACCCTGATTGGTGCCGGCACACTAATTAGTTTGCAAAATCTCGAAATTGTAGGAAACTCCAAGGGTTCCCAAACCGCAAACCACCCGACACGAAAAAGGGTCCGGAAAACTTCAAAGCCGGCACATATTAATGGCAACCGTAGGCGAGTAGCACAGCCGTCTGTCATGCATCACTGATATGATGACGAAAGTTTGCCACGTCGTCGACACTGGCGCAGAAGCTAGCGTTCTTCCAGCGAATTTTAACGACGGACCACTACGTATGGCTAGCGATATGTTTATCATAACGTGGGTCTGTAGGATTACGGTTTACTTTGTTATTAGTACTGCTCTTACAATAGATCTAATCCTAAAATTACAGAAATGTCATGACGCAACTGTCTAATCTATAAGATCTTACGTGGAAGTCACATCATTGCCTACACTGACTCATCGTATTGTAAAAATCAACAATATATGACGGAGAACACATTTAGGGAAATGACTACGCCTACAAGGCTGCAATGTCACCTGTTTGGATTCAATTCAATTCTTCCCGCCTTCTCCATTGTTGAGTTTTTCTCCGCGTTAGACGTTGAATATCTATAATCCCAGTCGCCTCGTGATCAGCTCTGAAGATTGTGTGGTTAGAGGTTAATGCCAATACAGGTTTACGCAAACCCATCCACTGGATCTTTGTTGTTGCAGATGTTTTCAAGCTAATCTTTGTCATCATCGTAATTTACTCATTGACAAGCGCAAACGGAGGTTAGAAGACAGAAATACTAATTTGTCTGTTCGTGTAACCATTTTTCCCGTTGTAGATCATCGCCAGTCACAATAAGGCACACAATCCGTCCATAATATCAACAAGTACTCGGCATGTTACTGCAATATTCTGTAGAAACTATTAAAAGGTCTATTGGATAAACTTCCAAAACTACCTGAGAAGCACTGATTAGGGAACCTTTTTTA